CCTCACAGACATCTCTCTTTCAATGTTCAATCCAGTATAATGTAACAATGTTCCAGATCTGAAGAATCCCAAAGGCAACAAGAACAAAACTCCAGGCTTCACAGACAAAGAAAGAGAGCAGTTCACTTTGTTGTTGAAAGATGGCAACTTCATCGACACTTTCAGGCACCTCTACCCAGACAAGAAGGAAGTCTACTCATTCTGGACCTACATGATGAATGCCAGGGCTAAGAATGCTGGCTGGTGAGTCAGACTTATTGACATACAGTTTAACCTGAGTATATTGAACACCTATCAAGCCATAAAAATGTGTTCACTGTACATAGGTGTTCATTACAGATTTGGCATATTAATTGTGTTTTTCAGTTGTATAGTGGAATATTCAGTGATGAGAAAATCTCAACTCTAATTTGAAAAATGGCAGGAACTTTTTTGCAAAATTTTGAAAATAACTTTTCTAAAAATGTTTTATATATCATATATACTGAGCATTTTACTAATGTCACAATCTTAGTATTGTCAAAGATATGGTAAATCATTTCTCTATGTTCGTTTTTGATGCATGAATAAACCAAATGAATGAAGGTTGATGTACTAAAACCTGTCTTAGTGAATGCCTTTCTCTAGTGAACATATGTCTCTAGTGGACACCCTTCCTGCACACATACTCCACTGAGTTCTGTATAGATTAACCTCTCTGTGAACACTTACGAACACTGAACGTTTTTTCTTGACAAATATGTTCAAAATACAGAGGTTTTACTGTATTACTGGATATATTTCCGTTATGAAACCTAATATTTCATTCTTTTATTCCATTCCAGGAGGCTTGACTATTTCCTGATATCTGAGAGATTGAAGTCAAAGTTGTGTGACAGTTTGATGCGAACTGAAGTAATGGGTAGTGACCACTGCCCAGTGGTGCTGTTGATGGCAATGTAGACTTTCTAGTGCTACCATCTACCCTGTGTAACTTGTTGGACCCTGGGTGAAACTTAGGGTGTCCCTTACTGGGAGTTCTTTACATGTAATGGTGCCATTGACTTAGTGCAAGCTGATAATGACTAACCGAATGGATCGGAATTTTAGAATTTAATAGAAGCATATTTAGTAAGGATGAGACGCTGTAATTGAGGTCACTTGAGAAATGTGCCTTAGAAGACTCATGGATTATGTATCACATAATTGAATTTGTATGAACATTCCTAGAGAAAAGATCTAGTGTTAATTTGCATTTATTTACCAAGCTTTAATGGCTGTAAGGTGGCTGCCAATCATATTATAATCAGTCTATTATTACCAGTTATTGTCAAGTACACATGTAAGCTTTCATGTCATGTTATTCATATACAAGACATTATTCCATGTTTTCCCTGAGAAATAAACAGGGAATAGGATTGATATTAAGATATCCCATGTCAGCCAAAATCCTGTATCAGATCCCTCTGATTTCTCTAGACATTTACATTTTTCCAGCGGAAGTAAACAAAATCATTTGTAACTGGCTTTGAGGTGAAGAAAGTTTTGAAAATAAGCAACTATAACGTAAAAACAAGGTCTTGTTATGTGACAAATATGTCTAGTTACAATATGATGTACAAAATTGTTAAATCTGGAACGAAATTCTGTGATTTGGTAATTGCTCCTGTTCAATGAAGCAATTTATGGTAGATTTCAAAAGTAACATGTTTGAATGAATGCTTCATTTAAAGGATGTACAGTACAGTACACTGTTTTGTGCTTTTGTTCTAATATAATAAAACCCAGTGCTTGTTTTTATCTAGTTACAATATGATGTACAAAATTTTTTTGTTTGTTTTAAATGAAGTTTCAGAAAAAACATTATGGGATAAAAAGGTTATTGATGGTGGTGAAAGCATGATATTGGCCTCGGCTATCGCCCTTGGTCAATATATTTTCCTTGGCCAATATCATATTTTCCTCCGAATATAATTCATATTCCATCCCTCCCATAAAATAACTTCTATATATTCATTCTGTAATTGGAGGATGTGAAGAATGTGAAGAATCTGAAAAGGGACGGGACATTCATGAATTCAGTTATTCCGTTAATTATTCAATTAATCAAGGAACAAACGTCCAATTTTAAATATTCATGATCTGTTTATAGATGATTGCAATTTTTGTACACTCCTGCTAAGTTAGTGTCAATCTAGCTTATTGGGGTTTATACTATCAAATGTGATGCTGAGGTACATCACAGATTCAAATCTGTGAGAACATCTACAAGTAGGCCGTTTGTTTGAATAGAATCTCATTACAAACTACGGAATATCTGAATATAAATAAATAAGAAATATCAGTACTTATCTTTTAGATATTTATTTCATGTTTTTATTACTTAAATGTGAAACAAAGCAAACCAATCATGTTGTATATCAACATATGCAACTTATATATTTGTTAGACTAGATATAAAATGTTGTAAACAAAAAAATATATAAGCATGCTTTTCTGCATAATATACCTTAAATAGTTTTATTCCTCTAGAAATACAATCAAAAGGTGTTAATATGCATTTATACTCCTGTTGTTTTTATATATAACTGTATATTATAATTTTGTATATTATGTATAATGAAATAAATAATATAGAAATTGTAAACTACAAAAGATTCTTTGTATACTTGACATTTTTGTCTTTAAATGACTAGAAAATACATTAAGACAGTTTCGATATATAAACTAGACAACCCTTACCCTCTATTCATCTCTCAGTTATTTTATCAAACTATTTACACAGAATTTTTAGGGCCATTACATTACTTAATAATAAAGATCATAATAAAATTTGTGATAAGAATCCTTTTCTATGAGATTTTGTTCAAACCTCAACTTTCGACACAAAGCTCTTTAATCTTACTCTAAGCTGGCAAAAATTGCAATGGAAAAATATCTTGCCAAAATCTGATATACAGTAGATACACTTCACTTGACTTAATTTGGTGGATTTACTCAATTTCAAATATTGGCGGCTATATAATTGGCAGTGTCAAGACTGAGCTCAAGATTTATCATAGATCTGGAAATAAACATTTTTCAATTCATCGGATTTTTTCAATCCATCAAATTAATACAGTATCTACAGTACCTGAAATTGCATGAAAAACTGAAGCATATTACATGACTAGAATCTAAATATTGCACATTGAGAAGAGGCACAGGAACTTTAAGCAAAGTACTACATGTACTAGCAGGATAAAACATAAAAAAATAAATACAATTCTTGGCATGTTCAAAAACTAAAGATAAATAATAGGTGCAAACATCACCAAAAGCAAAATATGATTTCAGTAGATTAAACTGACATGTATTTTGACAAAATATTGTAAATGCATGTCAATTTTGAGGATATATGACAAAAAAATAAAATATTAATCTACAATGCTCCGAAAACTAAACAATACTAACATTATATATAGTATTCAACTAGAAGTTCCTGTTTTAAAGAAGTGCATGGGCATCAAAAAATATTTTTGCATAAAACTATTTATCAATATTTCATTCCATTCTTTCCATCAAATATGAAGAAAATCTGTGCACTAGTATTCAAGTTATTCTGGATGGCCAGACTGAAGGCAGACTGATGGAGGGTTTCACCTAGGGCGTTAAATTACCCGGGAATTTATCAGTTCGTGCAGTACTTGTTTGTGATAGCGCCCTCAGTAGGTCACTGTGCTTAATAGCCTACAGTAATACGGATAATCACATTTATGCCTGCGCGCGCAGCTCATCCACTGAACGAAACGCCACTTCCCGCTGAAATCACCAGGTATTGATTTTTCCCTTGGCTACACTAGTATTTCCTACCGAACTTCGTCCATTGGGATTGCCCATTCTATTAGACTGACAATCTTAATTTGGATGTACAGTGAAACCTGTAAAGTGGAACACCTCTAGAAGTTTAACACTTCTGTTAGTTTAACACTTTTCTAAGTCCAAAGACCAACTGACTTAACTTTAAATAAACCTCTATGAGCAGAACACTTCTCAAGTGGAACACTTTAGAGGTATCAAAGGTGTTCCACTTAGACAGATTTACTATATAAAACTTACATTTACCAAAACAAACCATGATTTATAGACATAAGGTAAAAATAAATACAAAAATATTTATAAATAATTAATCAATGCTATTATACAACATATCATGCTTACTCTATCATGGTGTAAAAAGCCACAACATTCATAATAAGAAATATATACATACAAAGTCAACATAACTTATAAAAAACAAGTATATCTACCAGTCTACTGTACATTGGAATGGCTTTTAACATGTTTAATGGAATCTCAGAGTAAAAAATTGTAAATATACAAGTAAGTTAGAACATGTATTTTAAATGCCACTTGTTACAGATGCCTACTGCTGAACACCTTCCACAAAAAAGTTGGGAGACTTTAACAATATGTCACCATAGATGTGAGTTGAGTAAACTGAAACTTTTGCAATCAAAGTTCCTACATTCTAGCACAGAGTATAGACAGTAGTCCATATAGAGGACATATAGGCCAATGGCTATTTCAACCATCATCGTGAAAACCAACAAGGGCTCATCCATGGAACAATTTCCTACTGGCTGAATGTCAATTCTCAAACTGTCAATAATTCAAGAATCTTCACCAAGTATGGCCAGAATTGGCTTTTGCAACCCATTTACCCCTCATATAAATACAGGTGAATTCAGCATAATTTGACAAGGCTTACACTGAGTTGCATTTTGTGGTTCCATAATAATTACATTCGTTTATTTATTGCTCTCGGGAATGTTAAATCGTGGAATATGTGGAATAATTTTGCCACACTCCTCATTTGATGGGTCACTCTCTGGAAGATTCCTCCTACTTCAATATCCACAAAGTCCTTTCTAAAATCTGTGCATTCTGGAACCATGTTTATCTGCAAGTCCCTTTAACGTTTGATTGCACACTTTTTGAGTATTCTTTTCTGTACAGGTTCCTTTATTGCACATAGATGGCCATCAATACTGTTTATACTGGATCAAAAAAAACTGATGGACCAGTTATTATCATCCTATATTAGTTGAATTTATTAGCTGACCAAAATTGTAATTAAGTGGCTTTGAACCTCCAAGGCAGGCTTATATCACAATTTCCAGGCAATGGGCAATCAATGCTTTCTTCACATTCCGCATACTGTAGTTATTTCACTGTTTTAAATTATGCTTTTTCACTCGTCTTCTTTACTCTGCACAATATATGTAACATAAATGAGCGATTATAATCCGACTTCTTTCTAAACAAACACAGGGGCTTTAAGACAGCCTTTTTAACAGTGAACACCATCATCAAAGTCATAATTATCACACGCAGAGCTTCTTATGTATGTTGCTTGTGAAAGTTGCTGCCGCTCAAAACTTGCACGATTCTCCATGATATTCCGGATCAGAGAATGTGCAAGAATAATACCAAATATCTGAAATTAAACAATTTGAAAAATTAATATTTCTCAATGCAACTGGATTAGAATCCTCAGTTTGACTGTTTTGTTGGATTTTTGTCTTTTTCCCAAATCAATTCAATTTATTCAATTCAGCAATATCTGTCATACATTACATGCTTATCTTTCATGAATCATTACAGTGTAAGCCAAAAATTAGTCCACAATCAAAACAAATGATAAGCTTCACTCGAAATGATATAAATGGGTCAATCTGATTTGGAAATTACACATTATTGCAAGTATAGCTAGGTGGAATAAATTAATTTAACCATTTGATTTTACCTCAATGAAGCCCACACCAAATGCAATGAGACCGATTATCAGTAGATTCTGCTTGAATGTGGTCATCAGTTCATCTATACAGCCTCTTGTGTATACAACATGACCAGCGAGAACGTCCTGAAATGTTTAATCAAAACACAGTGTCATTTATTTATGTTCTACACATGATGCTTTAAGTTACGTTATCAATGATGTCAGACTCTATGAATAAAAAATAAGTTAGAAGTCAGCCACACTTCATATTGTGTTCACAAACCATAACATGGTGTTAAATAGTGAAAAGAATTCTGACATACAGTGTTGTATTAGTACAGTATGTACTATAAACCTGATGCTTTAAGTTACGTCATCAATGATGTCAGACCCTATGAATACAAAATAAGTTGGAAGTCAGCCACACTTCATGTTGTGCTCACAAATCATAACATGGTGTTAAATAGTGAAAAGAATTATGTATACTATAAGTGTACAATAATTCTAATTAGTAATCAGGAACTAAATTAAGGCACTAAATCAGGCATTCAGACATTCAGACATGAGATGACACCATCTCGCACATAAATGGGTTAATAAAAAAAAGGGGATCAAGAGTCTTGATGCAAAACTAGTTAAAAGTAAAAAAATGTTGTAAAATTAATTCTAAAAACTAGGACTAAGTCTTACATTTTTCAGACGTATACCATAGCCACATTGTATGTTAGGCATGGGCAAATAGTTCCGGCAACATGATGGGGGAACCCCACACATTGATTGTGCAGGGGAACTACAGTTAAAATAAGCATTCACCTCCCAGTCATCATAGCTTGTGGCGCCACAGCAACTATACTGTAAACAAAACAACATTATCAAGGTTGTTGTAGCACCATCGCAATCATTGTGTTACCAAAACAACTAACATTATAACATAACAATGATCATACAAGTTTTCTCAAAATTCGCAAAATTAATTAAAACTCGTAAAATTAACTGGGAGCACAGTATGTTGAATGACATGACTGTTTGCTCTCTACTTCAAACACATAGATCCCGGCCAGATTCTTTTGTAGTAGTATCAGTAGCTCAATAAATATTCCTCAAGATGAGACACCTCAGAAAATTTCAAATTTTAAAATGACGATTATGGAGCCATTTCTGAAAAATATGAGAAGCATCTTGTTATTCTTTAACTTTTTTATCACCAATGACCGTTATTCAAGCAATGCTGTGTTGATAAGAGGCCAAAACAGTGATATTTTATCGCCAGACTCTTGTCTGTCCAAATCTGAATGTTGCTCCCGTGGTTCCAGAAATGTGATGTCATCAGTACAATGATATTTGGACACACAAGAGTCCGGATCTCGTGAAAAATATTCGCCGTATTAGAAGTCAAATAACTGCATCCATAGGTTATTTACTCGAACCAAACAAGTAGAAATAGAAAGATGAAGATCTCAGCTATAAAATAAGTGCAAAATCTCTCATGGGGAAGCAGGTACCATTTTGTATAAGGAACATTTTTAAAAGGTGGTCATATTTTTTTGAAATTTTCCAATTTAGTGTCGTATCTTGTGAATTATTCTTTGAGCCTATGAGATCCTAATACAAAACGATCTGGCCAATATCTGTGTTCAAACAGCTCTAAATGTGAACATTTTCATTCTGTCCTTTTGTTATCTCCCATTGACTAAATACATGCTTATAAAACCTTGAAATGTGAACACTTTAAATGATTCCCAGAGGAGGTCAGATGAGACAAGTTTACCAAGGTGGTGCGAGTGAATGCCCCCCCCCCCATTGGCAAATTTCTTTCAATATCATACAGTTTTTCACCATTCTAAGGACTATTCAAGTGATTCTGTGCCAAAATGGTCAAACATGAACCTCCCTTGATTCTTTTAAAAAGTGAACTCAGGCAAAAAAACTGACCATGGGCTTTAAATATCACCACCTGCAAATGGGTAGTAGTGTAACATTTGTTGCAGATACTCACTGTATAGTCCTGGCCCTAAATTGCCTGAAATCAACCTAAATTGCCTGAAATCAACCCTGGACAGTGTTCAAAGAAATGCTGGCTACATAATCATGGTGTCTACTCACATGTCTCTGAACGTAGTTTATGAGGTCATGCAAATCAGCATCATCTTGGTAGTTTCTTATGGATCGCTCAGTCAAATGTAGCAAGTGATCTTTCACTTCATCCAGGAACAAGTATGCAATTATTCCAGACGCAATCTCCAGTGTGAACACTATAGCAATCACTGCACAAAACTAAAAAATCAAAAAAATCATCAAAAATATGTTTTCTACCAGGTACATTCGGATCCAGTCTATTAGCTTTATTTTTTAGAAGCAAAAAAATTACCCATTTCTTTCTAAGCCATCAGACTGAATCTTGTTAACAAGCCAGACATTCTTGATAAGAGAACTACCAAACAAAAATAGACCTAAACTTTGACCTTTTAGGTGGTGACCTTGACCCATATCATGACCCTATCCTAGTGAAACCTCCATGATATAATAATGTATTGATTTACCTTGACCTTCCTAGTATGTAAGGTCAATTCAGATTGCAAATAAATAAAACTTAACTTTAAAAAATCTCAATAGACCTACTTAGGAAACGTTGACCTTTGACCATTTATATGACCATTTAATGGGACCTTTACATTTTGTTAGGGCCATTCACAATAAATGATCTACAATATCAGTCTAAAAGATTGACACACAATGGCGATGACACTTTCAAATAAAATGTTATAATTTATATGTACAATATTTACATATTTCAACATGTACACACATTTGGAAGTAATATGAGGTACAGTAGAACCTGTCATAGATGTTCTTTAACAATAAGTCAGTTGGTCTTGGGACTCTTAAAAAGTGTTCCACTAACAGACAGTTTAGTTCAACAAGTTAAACCTAGTCTGGGCCTTATTTCTTATCTGACATATCTTGTGGCCCGCCCTAGGTTTAACATCCGTGCCTATTCGACCCTTGGTCTATGGCAGCGCATGAAATTCCATGCGCGTTTAATTCATAACTGATAGCGAGAATTTGCAACAAATGAAAGCATAGCACGGAAGTTAAACCCAATCACGGCAACAAGAACATTCAGATTAATAAATGAAAGCCGTGGTATTGGGTTTAACTTGTTGAACTAACAGATGTTCCACTTCTAGAGGTGTTCCACTTCACAGGTTTCACTGTACACAGTAAGAACATGAGAAACACAAATACTTACTATCTTTAACATACATATATTTTCTCTCAAAGACCCAACACAGCCAAATATGCTGGTGATGACCATAATACCTCCTATAGCAAGGAGGAATATAGCTGGGTCTGTTGCCAAGTTGTCTAAATTCCCCAAGCCTTGTTTTTCCATACGAGCCCATATTCCTATACACACCAGTATAATGCCCCCTACCTGTAAATTTATGATATGTACAATATAATTTTTAAATGGCTGGATTTAACATTCAGTCTGTCCTTTTATGGCCGAGTCAACAGATACAAATATGTAAAATACATTTAAACTAGGCTTATCTTAATTATAAAAACTTTTATTCCAATACTGTGGCAATAAAATAATAATTAATGTAATTTTATTCTTCACATACCCATACAAAAAAGTTGATGATGAAGAGGCTATATTTCACCCAGAATGCCATCTCACAGAGCCTACTATCTTCAGAGCAGAGTGATTTATTTTCCTTTGGCTCCATCTCTGTTTGATTTTGTAACTCTTCTTGGAGATGCTGGTGAATTATCTTGCTATTGTCTGCAAAACGACTTGTTTCAACCATAATAGTTGGTTTCTGTTGATTTGATGTGATGTTTGTCCTCTCTTTACAATGTTTGTCCTCTCTTTGCTATGTTTGTCCTCTCAAGCAGTTACATGCTATATGGGGCTCTTTTTAGTTGATTTGTTATGAGCCAGTGTTTTCTGCTGTGTATTTTCTAAGAATAGTTCAGCTATTCACTACCTGTGGATATGATTGTAAAGAAGTCTAAAATACATGTTGCAATGATCCTTTGTATTGAATGGTTGAGAACATTTGGACATGCGAGATTTGGGTACGTTGAAATATGTTAGGACATACAGTACATGAGAAATCTCCAATAATATGAGACCTATATACATGGAGATCTAATGTCATGAGCAATTTCCAACCTCTTTACGTAGGGGAGATGTGTCGAACTTTGATGTATGGGGTAACATCGTCTTGGGGCTATCAGCCATGGAGCTATTTTGACATTGGGTAATATTTTCGATAACAAAGTCGGAGATGTTTGTTTTTTGAAAAATTTTAAAAATAAATTGAAATTTCAAGCGGGGGAGATCACACGATTGCTGACCTTGTATATGAATTATCGGCAATTGTCAAAATAACACCATCGTCAAAGTATGTACAGGTAGCCCCATCGAAGTTTGACTCATCTCTGCTGATTTATTTTGACTTGGTTATTTTCCCTTTTCATGTCCATAATAGAGGTCCATACCCTAATCAGAACATCATATAGATGGCGATACATGCTCCTGCAAGTCATGCAAGTAAAATCGATATTAGACAAAAATATCTGACATCGATTCATCTCTATTATCGCCCACAATAAAATAAATAGACTAGACCTTTCAGTTTGAAGTTGATATTATGCATAGTAATTCAATTTTGACTATAATCAGGTATATAAGGAAAGTTTAAAGCTTTAAGAAAATTATATTTACCTTCATGGTATTATTAATTTAGCCTACAAATCGGAAAAATACACAAGATTAAAAATCCATATTTCAATCATCAGTTCTTTTCACTAGATGGCGCTTATTCAATTGATTTATTCAGTCCGTAAGAAAAACTTTTGGTAAGTTTTAATTTATTTTCTTCGTCTAATTTTAACAAATATAACAATTGCCGAGAGGCTTTTGTTCATACGATATAATTGATACTTTGATATGGTAAAAGGAATAGTTAGTACTTTTAATGTGGGAGCTTATCGTCAGATCTCAAGGCAATTTATCATGAACATTTCGAATAATTATTTATCGATTAAAATTTTGGAAATCATAATTATAAAGCAAAAACTGAGTCATTTCCACTAACTTTTATTCGAATTACTTATTCAAATGTGAAGCTTGTAATATATGTGTTATAAAGGCCCTTGGATAGAAGCACACTCTTCATTGCACCTGTTGAACCCAACCCAGGTCAGACCACCCATTATGTCAAGGTACATCCACATGTTCACAAATTTTAATGACTTCCTGAGTTAGAGTTTTATGTTATTTCCAGGTTCATTCATACTTACTCTACCGAGCTGACAGAAGTCAGCTTTTGAGCCAGCTGTGTGCAGTAAATTCATACATGTATAGTCTTCATGTTTCAGAATATCTAAACCTAGATAATAAGCACTGGCGGATCTGGGGGGGGGGGCATTTTTTCAGAGGAAATTTTTTTGAGACTTATGGGCCTCCCCCTTGTTAGTTTTCAGATCTGCCCCTGATAAGTACTCTTTATATTATATGAAAAAGGAAAAAAATGAAGTAGGCACACACATTTCACATTTTTTCTACTTTGAAAAAGCACTGATATTTCATATTTTTCAAATAATGTAACCTGGTAACTGTTTAAATATATTAAAATTTGAACTTTTGCAATCACTTGCCTGTCCGTCTCTCAGTATGTCAACAATAATGACATTTTAAAATCCTCTGTCAATAGGATTCTAGAGCGGTTATTTTTGTTCAACATCAAATATAGAAATCCCTCTATGAGCTGAGATCCAAAAGCTTGCCTATTTTCAAAATGGCCACATTTTTATCGCAAAAATCACTTTTGGATCATTTAGTAGCTTTTTATGTCAACACCAAAAAGTTGTGACATATTGTTATGGTCTTAGTTTTTTGTGATGGCGGTTGCGGTGGTCGGTAGGTGGGGGTTGGTTGGTGGTGGTTGGCATCTGTAACAAATTCTTACATCTTCCAATAACTTAACAAATACTGTTAAGAATGAATTCGTTTTTTATTAAACCATCTACAAGTTTTCAGAAGTTCAAATCTGACTTTAGATTTGACCTTCTCAAGGTCAAAAAGGTCTTTTTTCAACTTGCTTGAAATTGACCAATTTTCGTTTCAAAATCAGGTACATGTTCTCATAAGTTCAAATCTGACCTTAGATTTGAGATTTGTCCTTCAATAACCTTCTCAAGGTCCAAAAAGGTCTTTTTTCAACTTGCTTCAAAACTGACCAAACTTGTTTTTAAAAATCATCTTCAAGTTCTCAGAAGTTCAAATCTGACTTTAGTTTTGAGATTTGACCTTCAATGACCTTCTCAAGGCCAAAAAGGTATTTTTCAACTTGCTTCAAATTACCAAACTTTTTTAAAAATCATCTACAAGTTCTCAGAGGCTCAAATCTGACTTTAGATTTGAGATTTGACCTTCAATGACCTTCTCAAGGTCAAAAACTTATGGCACTTTAAATAGTAGTTTTATGAGGTCATTTTGTTAGAAGAAATTGGCAAAACTTTATGTCACCTTTTTTGTTATCAACCATTTTTGAATTTTCTTACCTTAAATCTTATTTACAGACTTATTTTTGTTTATAACTTCTCTTAACTAATAAACAGATCCCCTCTTTGAGATGGAAAATTCTTTAGCAAGTTCTCAACAAAGGTGTATTGGCACAATGAGAACATCATACAACCAAATTCAATGTTTCACTCTAAATGTGTCAAAACTCATAACCTTTATTGTGAAAGTTAATTTCAAATGTATACAAATGAAATCACCAATGGTTCATAGCTGACTGATCTTACCCTGTTCAACATTTAATAGAAAGATTGTCATAATGATATACCTAGACTTCAATTGGTAGAGTAATATAATGTAAGATGTTACTGGGTAGTTTTGATAGTCTGTATCCTGGTTGATTCATGCCTATTATCATTCTTATTGAAGTTTTCTAAAACCTGAATTTTGAAGTGCTGAATGTATGTTGCTTTAGGGGGGGGGGGCTTTGTGGTTCTTCATTTCCACCTTCAACTGGAGAGAAGAATAAAGAGTCATTGTTTTGTTTGATTGTGTGTGGTCTATTTCTTTATCATTGTACTTATGTCCAACAGAGCATATCATGATCTGCCCTCTTTATATAATATTGCATTAATAATTCTTTAATTTAGTCTGTCAAGTCAAAATCTATAAAAACACCACATGGTACTAGTACATGTATCCATGTTATTTATTTTCCGGTATATGTCTCATATGTATTTAATGAAGAGTACATTTGAGGTCCATAAGATCGTATCAGCAAAACTGAAATTATTTGGAAAAGTTAGGTAAACAACTCAGATTTATGCTATATGGAAGATAGGTTAGGTTGGATGCATTATAATTAGTCAGGGCATTTTGTTTCTGGAGAATTCCAAGAACAGCTGGCTATAACTTATCATTGCTAGAAGATTACATGGATATAAGCAGTCACCAGTCTGCTTGATAGATTGGATGTGGAAGTTTCAGTTCATAATTTTGAGAGAGTTCATTTGGTCAACTAGCTTCTATTGTGATATTGTACCCTTTGCATTCATTTGACTTCACTTCTTAAAAGAGAGCTTCGTCTTTAACTAGACTCTGCACGCAGGGTAGTGATATTGTGGTGTGTTACTTTTTCTGTCTGTCAATGTAGAGCCTTATGGCATGTCTCTTGAGAGGGGGGGGGTCAATACACATTTTACTTTCTAATCATTCTTATTTGGAATATTGAGCCAAATATGTTTTTATTTGAGTGGGACAACAGACGTAGCTGAGCTTTAAAATATTTATTTCTAATATAAACATTCAAAGTTATCATGAATATTTCGAGCCATTAGTTTATGATACCATTAGCCCACTAAAGTGTTAAAACCAATGAACTTGTTCAGTTTTGAAAAAGCAACATGCTGTGTTTCAACATTAGAAGTCTGTCTTGATGCAGTTATAGCTATAAAACTGTTTACCTTTATATCAAGTTACTGCTGGAATTGTCTGGCATGCTTTAACATAAGAGATGTGCTATTCTAATCTCAGTTTGAACTTTTGGGAGTCTAGAATTAGTAGTGAGAACAGTATGTCTGAACTTTTTAAGACTGGAGAAAACAGCCATTTTCAATTTGTTCATATCAAAAGTACAGCCAAGTTTAGGAACAATGATTGGCGTTTCTACATCAAGGAATATTACCGCTTGCTGAATATTGTTAAGATACTTTGGTTGATGCATTGTGGGATCAGGTCTGTACTTTCCATTGGATACCCTTTCGCTCTCAGGCATAACTTAAAGAGGGACTCTGATTCAGAATGTGCTTGATAGGTAATTATGAATTTTATGATATCATAAAACGACTATTATTTTAACAAGAATACTCCGGGTTATGTGCAGTTATTTACAAGTGATGTGATGACAGAAGGTCTTAAAGTTTGCACTTGGCTGAGTAAATGAATCATATTTTTAATTGCTTCCCATTGTAACATGTAATGGTGGGTAATAGGTTTGTATCTTATGCACCATTCAAAAGTTTGTGTGAGACCCCCACACGCAGGGAGGGTAAGGAATTTGATCCACAAAAGTGTCCCCAGGGGTAGGAATTTGTAGAAGATTGTCCTCCCGGGGGTGGGGAATTAGATTTACAAGTGCCCGGAAATGGGGATTTTTGACTGTTTCGTCCAGTATACACTTTAGGATTCTCGGAATTTGCAAATGATCGGTATATTCAGTGAACTAATGAACGCTCATATCGGGAACAGAAGAGTTGGGTAAAGTTTCAGAGGTGGAATCGCCGAGAATAACTGCTGGATAGAGGAATTCTAGAATACTGAGCACACTGAGCAGTAATTATTGGTTTGTCAAGCTTGTTTTCGCCCTCCCTTCGGAAAAATACACTTCCGCGTTCTACTTATATTCAAAAGCTCGTCATAATTTAATTGATTTAACAAAGATGATTAATTTAATTTGAAATTAATTTTTGAAAAAAAGTTACGTTTGAACGAATTTTGATTTAATTAATTTGATATAGATGAATAAAACGGAGGGAGGTAACCTATTAAAGTAAAAAGCCAATATCTTAAAATACGTCATTACATAAATTACAAGAGACCTTTCGAATATTACTACGATGTGGATTTGTTCCCGTCATCAAACGCAACAATCCGCCCACCCATTCTACAAAAAATGATCATTCATACAGGTATGTTCTCTACTTTTGTTGAACAGATACAAACCAAGAGTAACACCACATCCATCTCTGCTCATTTAATTTTGTCAAAACTTTCAGGCAATTTGCGAAAGCGTCGTCGTAAAATGGACTGTATTCTCATTGCAGGCTTTTGATTTCGCGGCTTATTGCGTCGTTTAAAAAGCTGCTTCTCTACTGGTTATATGTAAAGCATGCTAACATTTCATTCATGAATTAATTGTAGCATGTGTAGTGGACTTTCCGCGAAGAATCGTTTGACCATATATGGTGTCTCTTATTGAAATATTGACATAAACAAAGTACTGCACGTGTATCCCTCAGTCTACTAACAGATTTTTAAAAATAGATTTCAAATAGTGGAAGGACCCAGGGGTCGCGAACATTTGACCAGATTTATTGCTCCATGGGTAGGGAAATTGACACATTTGTTTGGCCCTGGGGTAAGGAATTAGGCCAATTTCAAGAGAAAGTTTACTATTGAATTGCCGTATGAATAGGTGCATCGTTTGGTAAAATATGCCAGGACTTCTAGGATTTTTTCGAACTGATATGCTTCTAAGAAACGACAGCTATTAAAAAGGTGAAACAACACCACCAATGTACACACAAGTCAATGCTGTAATTAAATACTTGTAAGTGATGTTATCATCACAAAATTAATTTCATTGCTGTCTTTATGAAATAAGTTTCAGATAATACGTTATATAAAAAATAATCGAAAATAATTAAAATGGGATGGAGGAGGGGTTGGGATAAGAGGAGGGAAAGCCCCAGAGTTTTAAAGATGACAGACATAATTACGTCTCTTGCTTCGATGTGATGTTTTAATTGATATAGGCATATTCCGTACATCTTTCTTCATCTTGATGTGAAATAACAAGCTATGATATTGGTTAACACGCGAGAAATGAACATAATATTATTCGAAGTGTATTTTGAAAATGTTGAAACCTCCATTGATGAAATCATCTGTTTGTCGACTTTTAACCATGCAATCAGAGATGTATGTCATCTCAATGCTTCCCAGTCAACTCGTACCCAAGACAACTCGTACCCAAGACAGCTGGTACCCAAGACAACTAGTACCTAAATTTATTTTCAGTATTATGGTTGCATATTAGGAATACAAATTGAGTTTGTATAATAATGTTTTCATGTTATGATGTAAATCAAATAAGCCTCAATATTTTTTTGAATTTAAAAAACATTTTTTCTCAATGGATTACATGTACATGTAAGTAAAGTATTTTGATTTAACTTGGATCGCCTTTTTATTGAATAAAAGAAGTGCTTGAAGCGCTTGTTCTCAACATTTTTTTGTCAAACATATAAATAATTATTTACAACAGTAACTTTTCTACAAATGAATCAAACAATTAGTTTTTTGCATTTAGAGAAAGTTTAAAGGAAGTTTAATCTGTTAATTTCTTTTCCACTTCGTAACTAAATTGAATTATGTTTGAGCATGTGCGTACAAAGTATATTACATGTATGTCATGTATGAATAAGTACCAAAATAATATTCGATATTAATATTATATTATTATGAATATTATTTATTATTCAAAATATTTTCTTGCTAAATTTCATGAATGTGACTTCTGATAATATGAAATCCTAGACAAATAGATTATCTGTTAAATATAAGAAATTAGGCCCAAGATTTGATAAATCTATACATTTATAATGATACCACCTTTCAAGATGAATTGAATCTGACACTTGTTCCAAACACTCATACAATATTTTGAAAAATGGTTATGAATAGGTGGAATAAACATATGTCTCTTCACTCGAACATCCTGAATCTTTGACCAATAAAAAATAATTGTCAAAATAAATTGACATTCAAAGCTCAAAATGTCAGAAAATTAAATCAATTTCGTCCGAAAATTCTTCTTCAAACTTTAAACTATTCTGAACAATTATATTGTAACAATTATAATATGTATATCTATTTACATTCCAAGCCCAACGCTTGATTCAAAACAAAATATATACTTGGGTACGACTTGTCTTGGGTACCAGTTGTCTTGGGTACGACTTGTCTTGGGTACGAGTTGACCAGTTACCATCTCAATACAGGTTTACATTATAAGCGTATGTCATCTTTGAACTCTGGTGTTATTCCCCTCTGGGTTGGGATGGAGGGGGAAGTGATATATGTCTAGCCTATAAAGTGAAAAAACTGCTTGAAATTCTTGTATTTTAAAAATGAAGTCAGTAAGTCAGAAGGGTCACAAGGGCCCGTAGCTAGACTAAATAAGAATATTAACTTGCAATTCGTTAATGATCTGTATATGCAATATATCTCTAGATTTCTAATTTCTCATTAGATGTGTTGAGAGAAAGTTACCAGATCCTAGAATAAAGCTGGATTTGAAAGTTAATGGATGTACCATATTTTTCATGTCAGTTTATTGTCTTATTTTTAAATTAACTGAATTGTTGAAATAGTTGTTAATTTTATACAAGTACAGTTATACTATATATGTACATATATAACAATAGCAACACAGACTATTGATATATATGGTTCATTTTCTGTTGCTCGACTTATATGCCACAAGTCATTGTTTTACTATACCCATCTTTATGATACAATGGTGCATCCCTTGTCAAATTATACTTTCAAGACCAAAGCATACATGTTTTACAAGAGAGTTTACAAGAGCAAGAAACTTCTTTTTGCATTACAAGCTTCAGGCCCATAGCCAGGGGGAGCAGAGGGAGCAGCTCCTCCCACCCCTGGCCAGAAATTATTTAGAAATCATTGAGTTTTTCACCATTCTGAGCATTTTTCATGTGATTTTTTTCCCAAAAACTGTCAAAAAGCTCCCCGCCTTGGCAAGAGCTCCTAAAATAGATTTTTATGTCACTACCACACGTGATGACATATTGTTATAGTCTCCAACTTTTTGTGGATGGTGCTTGACAGTTAGTGTTTGGTGGTCTATGTCTAGCAAATGGCAGGTGTGACATTTGGCATGTTAATGCCTCTGTAATCTACTGTTATTCCAAGAAAGTAAATATTATCAACTTGTTTATGTTCATTATCATTTAGATAGATTTCAATATTATTTGCATATATTTTCTGTCATGAGGAAAATATGATATATTTTGTTTGTTAAACATTAAGTAATATCTATGGCCAGTCATTCTTCAATGATTTTTAGTTCAGCATTCAGTTATCCTCCAGAGACTCACATATTAGCTGTTTATTTGAACACTTTTAATCAGTCCCAGTGGTGTTCTGATTATACAGATTTTTACTGTAATTCTATTTTCAAAATTTCCCCCAATAAGTTGATATGTGTTATTTTTCGAAGTCACCCTGTCATGTTAACATAATATTTTGTTTGTTAAAGCATTATAATTTATCTATGACCAGCCATTCCTCAATGTTTTTTAGTTCACCATTCAGTTATCCCCCAGAGACTCACATATTAAGAAAACTGGAATGTGAACAGATGTTTATTTGAACACTTTTAACCAGTCCCAGTCATGTTCTGATTATAGATTTTTACTGTAATTCTATTTTCAAAATTTCCCCTGATAAGTTGATATGTGTTATTTTTCGAAGTCACCATGTCATGTTAACATGATATTTGTTTAGCGAAAACATTCTTTGTTCTTTCAGATTGTTCCAACACACTACATCCTACTAGTGTAGATGCGTTCCACATTCCACCTTGGTCAGCTCAGAAACCAGTTTGAATCAAGAATCTAATACTGTATATATTTAACATGATGGGTATGTACTGCTACAGCATCATGCATGTCTTTATGTTCAGCATGTTACTACTAACATTTATACATAAAACCAGTGGTCTAAAATGTCTTGGAAATCTTGGGAAATGCCAGCAGTGTAATAATAATGTTACACATTGCATCGACACTGGTTATACAAACACATTTCCTCTGCAGTATATTCCCCTAACCACCACAGATGTCATCTTCACTGGGAACAATGTCTCCCGTCTCCCCGATAACATTGTTGGTGAATGTACGGGAAGTGGGAATCGACAACTGAAACACTTAAGTGTCCTGGATTTATCTCAGAACCATATAAAATCAATTTCTGGCCAGGCATTTCATTGTATGCCTAATTTGAAGGTGCTTAACCTCGAGAAAAATGACTGGCAGGTCGATCATCATGTCCGTGTTTTTTCAAATTTGAACCTTCTGGAGCGCTTAGACCTCAGCGATGCTTTTATGGAGTGGGTTGATTCCAAACATCATCTTACAAAATTAGTGGATATATTCTACAACAGTGACTTATCAGAATTGCAGGAGCTTGCCTTGGATAATAACGAACTATATGAACTGGATGATGAATTCATGCAAAGCCTCTGTACCTTGCGTTCTTTAAACGTCCTCCATCTTAAGAATAACAAACTTTTTGATCTGGTTGATTTTAAAGTGCGCTGTCTTCAGTCACTTGAGTTCCTCCATATTGAAAACAACCAGTTTCCCTTCATACACAAAGAACTGAGAGAAATGCTGGATACTGTCCACTCGAGTCAAGCTACATTAGGTAAGAGCCTACATGTCGGTATGGAATATAATCCATTTAACTGTGACTGCAAGATGAAGGAATTCCACAAATGGCTACAGTTGACTGGTATTGTTTTGGAAAAGGATAAACTGAAATGTGTGCAGGGCTATCCCACATCAAATATCAACAAAACAATATTGAGCCTCACTTTGGATCAGCTTCAGTGTAAACCTGAAATGACACCCTCAAGGTACATGGAACCATCGTACACTGTCCTAGTTGTTGTGCTTGTGCTCCTCTCACTTCTAACTGTTGTTGTTTTGTACATGAACCGAGCAAAGGTTATCAAAACGGGGCGTGATTATTGTTACACACCATGTGTTAAATCTTATGGGAACTATAAAAGAGGGGTATCGTCAGTTAGTGGTAACACTAAGTATAATTATTCATCCGTTGAGGAATCAGTCAGTGATACTACTCCCATCAGTGCTTAAAGTTGCCTTGAAAAAGTCTGATACTGTAAAACAAGAAATTTCCATGAGATTTATTTTCCTTTTTTGAATATTTCACAGTTTTGAATCTTAATATGACGTATTGATCGAATCTACCCATAGCAAGCAAGTTTTGAAAATGTGCTTTACCTTATTGAACTTGACATATTGTGTATTTATAGAGTTCAGTGGTGAGATTGAAAAATGCTCATGTACCAAAGATATTGTTATTCATTCAATTTAGTGTTAATTATGAATTGCAATTTAATTCCACAAATATATCAAGAAAACCCTCCCTGGACTTTGAATGAGTCAAAATTATGTTACATGATTGAGGATATTTCTCCTTTTACAGTATCCATTTTAACATCGTATACACAATGAACACTATTATAATAGAACAGCTTAGTGGAGTAAAATATGTTATCACATTAACATAATAATCTCATTAAAATGTATTATTCTTTCACAGAATGCTAATCTAACCATTATCAGAATAAAGTCACCAGTCAGTATCACTAAACATGGAAGGCTGTAACCATATCTTTCCAAATGGTAAAAAATGAAATAGTTTGAATATTTGTATCCATCAGTTGATGCACTTTCATGTGAGGTTTTATCTTAGAAATACCATGGAGAACACAAAAATGGAATGAAACAGGTTGAAATTGTGCATTTTGAAAGCTATGGTTGGGCAAAATTTATCATTTGACTCATATTTACATCTATTCTATGAGCTTTAGTTATTCTATATGTATTTTATATTTATTGTACTTGTACAGGGTGGGCCAAAAAACGCCACTTTTTTCAAAATGCTATAACTTTTTTAATTTTTTTTGATATTAAATCATAATTTGCATACCAAATGAAACTTGAGGTTGTTATCTAGCCATGGATCATAAATTATACAGTTTTACTTGAATAAAATATGTCACCAGCGTCTCACTTAAACATGTGGTTTTCATGAGAAATAAGCATAATTTGCAAAATGTTCCTGAACTGATACGGCCTGATGATCGCCAAGCTAATAGCCCTGATGCAAACCCCAGTGAGTATAGGGTATGGGAAGGTCTCCAGGAGATTGTATGAAGGCACCCAATCTAGGAAATTGCTCAACTAAAGCTCGGAATTTAGACAGGTTGGAGAAAAACTTAGCTAATATTTCATTGATACTGCAATATCAGCAAGGCGACTAAATCTAAAATATATCATCAATTAGGGTGGCGGACCTAATTGAACTCCCCTTTTAGATCAAATATAATCTTTAGTTGAATGACTTGTTACATTATATTATTGCTAAGAACCCTTGGCACTATATAACTGCAAAATTTGAGGTTGGAAAATAAAAAAGTTGTAGCGTCTTGAAAAAAAGTGGCGTTTTTTGGCCCACCCTGTATTATAAGCTTTTACTGTGTAGCAGCATTCCATTTATTTTGGCATGGCATTTTATATTTGAAGTATTTTTAAATGTTATTCAGAATAATATGTTACATTTGGGGTACCTTTTTTTATATATTCTTTAAATTATAATTAAGGTGTTTTTAGAAAAATCATAAATGTTTCATAACATGTTTCGGAGTGGGTATTTCTAATTTTTAGTCTGTATTTATATTAACATAAAATCATTGTTATATCTGCAAAGCAGATTTCTTGTTTTTTCTTTATTTTTTACATTCCAAGAAGACAAATTTTACATTTTTTGTAAATAGAATATTTCAGATCTAAATATATTTAGAAAAAGTAAGCAAGATGGCCAAATGGTCAAGTATTTAGCATTGTTTTAAAGAAAGAAGAGAATTTTATTGAAATGTAACCATGGATGTAACGAGAGGTAATAAATTTCATTAAATATAATGAATAATTGATATTGGGAAGGCTGTTCAAGCAAAACTATTTGGATGAAATACATGTACTTTATTCTGTATATACTATACATATATTTTTACTCTATAATACATGAATGTTAAGTAACATATTGAACAGCTTATATAACCTAATTTGAGTTTCGAATGTTGAAGTGATACTATGGGATAAGGAAAACAAAGTAACTCGATTGGCGCTATCATATTAGTTTAGTTACAATTTATATTTTAGATATTTAGATCTTAAGTAAACATTCATTATACTGTATTAAATAGACCACTCAATATTCATTGTGTTTTAGCATTATAAATTATATTTGAGTGTGATGTTTTTACATATAGGAAATATTGAATAATGATTAAATAATGCTTATGATGTTTAGCCAGGTGATTAACATGTAAAATTTTAATTTGTAAATTGACTCACAACATATAAAGGTTTATTTCCAACATTGTAACTTTAATTTCATATTTTGTGGTATCTAAAGCATATTGGTTAGTTCCAAGCTGTAATTAGATCATAAGCTATTTTAACATAGAATACATGTATCACGTGTATCATATTTTATATTGTGCCTTATTAATGATATTCTAAATCCAGCGATATTAGCGATTTTGTAAATAAATAGTATTAGCATGTAAACATTATTAATTTGTGCTTTATGATTTTTAAAGTTCATAGTTTTCTGGTTTCAAGTTATTATATTGTTACTCAAATCAAAAGAATTTATGATAACGTTGTTTTTGTTTCATAAAGTCTCAGAAGCTTGCATATACACCAAGCTTCTTAAAAATAAAATTTTATTTTTTCTCTGCAAAATTCAACACCTGTATCCATGGCCTTGAAAATACATTTTTGATTAAGTTGATAATGGAAATTAATAGCTTAATTGTTCTAGGCTTCCATGAAACATTATGTTTTTTACATTCAGAAGTTTTTGTAGGTTATTTCATTAAATCTTTCATATTTTCGATTCATCACCAGACTATTACTTTTCGTCTAGAAACCAAAAAATCCTGATATTTTACCCCTCCCCACTAATTTTATATTAAAACTACAACAAAAAAACTATGATGCCAAGGCAATGCCCTATAATAGATATGAACAATATACACCAGTATGAAGATACATTTATTATCATTTATAAGTGACTAGTTGCTTGGAATGTGTTGCTTACTCACTTACTCAATTGACAAGTTTATTATGAATGTCTGAATAAATCGAATGAATATTTGAAGAAAGCTTTATTAATTCAGGTTTATATTGTTCATATTATGGTAAGGTGTTGTTTGCATTTACGTCATATGTTTCCTTTTTTGTTCATTTTCCAGTTTTTGCATGTTTTTCATTTTCATTTTCAGTTGTAGTATTGTTTTGTTTGATACTGCTTTTTTTGAGCGATGTTTTTCAACACAAATAGGAGCTGAAGAACCATATTGAATTCAAAGATAAATTTCATATTTAATGAGGTGAGAATTTCTTTTGCATGAATGGGAATCTAAGAAGACTTAAACTGCTATAGGCTTAGACTATAGTATATTATGATAATCAAGAGATTCATCCGAACTTTAATCATTATTATTTTAGTATACTTAGTTGTAGTTTGCATGGCATAATGTTTGGCGTGAAAATCAGCCATGTTTGTCTGTAGCTTTTGCAAAGTGAACCTGCATGTTTTTAAATCCCTTTATCATATTGAAATTCTACTTACCCTATTGCTGGATTGTCTTATTTCTTCCTGCATTTATGTTTCAGAAGTGAAAAGTGGATATTCTCTAGCAGTTTTGTAAGACCATGGACCATGTGCTATAGTAGCTTGAAAAACAGGTTTGTCAGATTTATTTATTAAACCCCCCTCTCCCTATAGATTACTGTATGTAAGGTTAAAATCTTGTGACTAATTCCCATCAATTTACAAGAATGTGCTTTTCTTGTAGGGTGTTTTGTTAAGTTAAAAATTCCATAAATGATAATAATAAAAATTAATCTCCTGTTAACATTAGAAGAGCTCTACCTTGGTAAAACAGTTCCAAGTGTTCCGAGAGTCTTGTCTAGCTTATGATAACAATATAATAATGACACTGTGGCCAGATGACCCTGAATACACTACCTGTTAAGAATTATTCTCTATAAATGGTCTCCTAAATTACTCCGGCCATCCCAAGAAATTATATTTCTCACCAAACTTCAAAATATTCTGTGATATATTAAAAGCTAGATCATGTACTGGGCTAGAAAATGAAGAAGAAAGACTTTTTCTTACAGTAAATCAAATGACCATAGATGACCGCCAGTAAAACTGCAATGTATTTGTGAGCCGTAGCTCAAAGCCTACCCTAGCGCTTAGAGGACAAATTAATATTATTACATTTTGAATAATATTTATCTATGATATCACTCAGTTTGTTATCTTTTTCCAAATATATGGTTTTAATTTTATTCTTTTCAGGATGTTCATGGATAAAGCCCTGAAAATCAAGTGATATATTAAATGTGGCAGATTAAGATTAAGGTATGCCATTTCTATTTTATTTTGTGGATAATTTCTTCTTAGGACCTTATTTTATTCAAGGTCTTATTATCTGAAATGTTCTATGCCACATAGTGTGAATTAAAGGTAAGTGATGAGATGTACATAAAAAATTGTATTTTTTCCTCCAATACCCTTTTAAACCCTATTCAAAATTCAACCCATTGAAAGTTTTTGAGTTTACTTCCTACATCTCTTTTGGGCTTGTTCAATAATCAATTTGTTTCGTTTTTACTGATAATGTAAACTTTTATTTATTAAAAGTGAAATGACATGAATAATACACAGTGGATGAGAAACTATTGTTTATAACATTTGCACTCTCTGCACCTTGCATTTGGTCTTGATTGAAAGACACACTCGACTTCCCATTTTCCGATAAGTTTTTTTTCTCAACATATCATTCCTATGGCAAATCTAACACTAGTTCACTAGTTTAGAATCACACAAGTCTAGAAGCTTGGAGTGAGTGACAATTTGTTGTATTGGCCCTCTTTGACACATAGGAGCTATAATGCCTAATGTCAGTGGTGATACATCCGTTTAATATCAATTACATATCCATCTACGCTATTTTTTTATTCACTGTCTTTCTGTTACATTGGAACAGATGCTGCCTCATAAACACCTTCTTTGATGCTGCTTTTTGATGTAATTTCAGTTCGCTTCATCTTCAAAATACAGACCATACTTTCTTAAGGCACTATAAATATGATCAGATAAAATGGTAAAACAGGGATTTTATAGCGAATGCATTTAGGGGACCAAGTCTGCTGAACATACCAACATTATCGCAATCAATAGCTGAAAATAAAAATAATAAAGCAAAACAGCTTATGAAATTATTTTACATGTCCGTCTTGACCATTCTCTCTTACATTATGAAACTCCCTCAACATAAGACTAAATTATTTTATTGTCTTACCTTCTTTATTATTATAGTCTAAATTCTTATTTTCAATTTCCTGTACTTTTACAATTTCTCTTGAATACGTTATAACAACTTTATAACTTCATTCTTGAATAGCTTTTCTAAGATTCTGTCAAATCACCTTTTCCCTTTCTATTAATATGGTTCTAAATCTCAGCACATTGTAGAATCCTCCATCTCAGAATCGAACGATGTCCTCCTCCGAATATTCTTTTTGGTGAGGCAAAATCCGTCAGAAATTCTACTTTCTTCTGAGAAGGAAGTTTCTATTCTTTTCCCATAAGCAAACACCACAGGAGGTCTGTCCCCAGTCATGGAGATGTCCTAATGCTATACTACTCTGTGTTAAATTGTTTACAAATTGTGCATTAGAATACCTCCTTCGGCTGGCTGAGCTGTTGAAGCTGCCAGACTATCATAACTTTCCTGCAAGACACTTCATGATATTGATGTTTACATTATAGAGGCAAAAATGCCAAAATCGGGAAGTTAATCTTCAAAGTTTAGTTGATTGAATAACAAATGGCTTTCTGGAGGTTAAATTGTCTTAAAGCATTTTGACTTACACATAACTAATCTCGATCTCTCTTCCTTTTATGAGTCTGCTTTGGTACTCTGTGATCCTCGCACCTACACTCATCTTGCTGGCTGATTTTTTTTTATTGTTTTCCTTCGTGGTGATTGTAAGATGACCTAAGTATATGATTTCAGTTTTTTATGTCCCCTTTCCTCTTTAATATGTTGATTATGTGTTAATGTTTAACCTGTTTGTCACATTCATAGGGTTTCACAACCAGTATTTGCTCTGTAATTATTTTAAATGATCTAAGTTTCAATAATTAATTTGGGAAATTAAACTGTTAGGAATTATACATCATCCTTAAGTACTATAGAAGTACTATAGAAGGGAATAAATATTTCAATTTGGTAGACCTAAAACAATATTTTTATTTTTCAAAATCCCTAAAATTCAATTGTAAACTAATGAAATTATGTTTACTTCAATTCAAATTATTTCATAATACAGTATAAGAGTTCTCATAAAACAGTTGTGCTATTTTTTCAGAAAAGATTCATTCTTGGTCATAAAGGAGCAGGGAAAGTATCGCAA